CTTCTCTTAAAAATAACCCTAAGCACATTCCTACTGACTTGCAGACTCCAAAACCTTTCAGCCTGGCAACAGTCCTGATTTTGCAATATCTGTCTTTTATTACATGTATCAGGTTACGTATAAGCTTTTAGTGTTCCTTTTACTTTTTTTCCTCCTAGGTTGATTGGTTGGGTTTAAAACTGAATTTAACTCTGTAGAGTAGCAATGTCTTGTCTGCACATTTCTTCCACATAAAGCACAGGAAAATGAGAGACATCAGCCATTGCGATGGACAGTTGATAGAAAATTGCTCGATGAGTGTTTATGCAAAACGCAACCTTGAAACTTAGTCATGTTTTCTTTTGCACATCACACACACACCTGCTTGGATTTCCTTAGTGCCCAAGTAATACCAGAGAAAAAAAAAGCCCCCAACACCGCAAAAGCAGCGTTCTTACTGGCAAATTTATGTTGTTTTTCATCAGCTCTAAGCTAAAATGCAGCTCAACTTAATTAGACTCAATTGGAGAGGCAGTAGCTTGCAACAGGTTTTTATTCTTACAGGGTTCTGAAGGCACTTCCAGTGAGTAACAGAACAGTGGACATAAGGAAAACATCCATAAACCTGGAATAATTCCACTGGATTTCAGCCCTTAAGTCTCAATGTAAGCTGGACACCCGTACCAGGCTTCCTGAAACTCTTCAGCCATCTAAAGCAGCCGTGCAATATTAAAACTGGAGCTGGACTGATCATTCAAAATTAATTTATCCAGAACATTATTGAGCTACAGTTTCTTCTGCTGCTTGTATGTTGATCATCAGTAGTTCGTAATCTGTTTGATTTTGCTTCCTTTACCAGTTCTACAAACTATTCTAGCCCGTAGCTTTTCACTAGAGCTTTTAAGATCTTAAATTTGAGCAGGGCAGATCCTATTGCACAGTTGTGATCAGAGTCCATGCCATGAAGAATACCAGCCAGCTACACTACAAACCCTGGTTTGCTCAAGGCAGCATGGTGGGTTGACCCTGGCTGGCAGCTAAGCCCTTTCCCAGTCACTACTCACTCACTCCACCCCAAACAGGATAGGGGAAAGAATCAGAAGGGCAAAAGTGAGAAAAACTTGTGGGTCAAGATAAAGACAGTTTAATAGGTGAGGGAAAAGCAAAAAACACCGAGTCGTGCAAACGCAGTCACTCACCACCCACAGACTGATGCTCAGCCAGCCTCCGAGCAACACCTACTGTGGAAAACCTGCCCCTCAGTTTTATTGCTGAGTGCGATGTAACATGGCATGGGATATCTCTTTGGTCAGCTTGGGTCAGCTGTCCTGGCTGTGTCCCCTCCCAACCCCTTGCCAACCCGAGCCTACTCGCTGGGGCAGCAGAGTGAGAGATGGAGAAGTCCTTGACACTGCAAGCACAATATTAACTAAAACATTGTTGTGTGTTATCAACACTGTTTTGGTCACCAGTCTAAAACACAGCACCATACAGGCTGCTATGAGGAAAATTAACTGCATGCAAACCAGACCCTGTACAGGTAGATAATAAGGGACCATGGGGCTAACTCCAGAGGCTGCCAGTCCATTGCCAGTCCAGTACTGACAGTATTGCATGCAACAAAAACTAATACTTGGCCTTCTCACTGTTCAAAACATTCAGTCTTCACTAAAAGTTTGGGAAACTGAGGCACGGAAATGAAGTAAGCTAGTCCAAGTCACTCCTAGAAGCAGCAGAAGGGATTAGCACTCAGGGCTGGTGTTTGTCTTGAACCACAGTCCACCACTCGTCACCCACCAGCCCCATTTGCCTATTGCCTCACTGGATAATCAAAGATCTTTCAATTCAATTTCCTTCTCTTTACTACTAAATTAATACATTGGCATGTTGTAAGCTGAGGTTCCAAGCACTGATGCTTTGTGTTGTTATCTCATGGCACCGCACCGGTACAGAGAGAGGATGAGCACAAAATACGTGGAAATCAGATATGCAGCAAGTTAGGGATTGTAAGACTTCCCCCAGCCCAACTAAAACCAGGTAGATTTGTTCTCACTGGAACATGGATCTCCTTTGGGAGTGAAGGAGAAGGTTAAGGTGCTTTTTTGGTTTTTTTTTGCATAACCTTGGTTGGCTCCTTAAAAAGGAGTAGTAGTTCTAGCCCTAAGTTTCCTGCTCTGAATCTAATTTTCCCAAGGCACAAGTGACTTACCTGGAGATCATAAAGGCTGTCACAAAGCTGAACAGATAGCATTAGAACTGTATTTCCTACTTTATCTTCTGTTCTTGCTAGTCAGTGCAAAATGTTACCAAAAAAGAATTACTACCAAATGACATGAGAGCTTAAGAGGTACAGGCATAGGAGCCTATCTAGATACACCTATCAATGTCATATGTATCTGTTCACAGCATGATAATAAACATCTAGGCAAGTAACAAATACAAAGCAAAAAAAGGTTCATCTGTCTCCAGAGTATTTTAATAAGCGAAATAAACCTAAAGGTATGAGTTGGATTTCAGCCGCAGTTAACCTTTCCCCTGACATGATGCAAGGTCTCTTTGCAGGGATGCTAAGCAGAAGATTTGCTACATGCCATACTGGGGCTAACTCTGGAGACTTCCAGTCCATTGCCTGCTTATATAAAGCTTCACAGGAGTCAGGCTGATACCCTCAGGCTTCTCCAAAAACACTGCTGATCCATAGGGCTAATCTCATTTCTTGGACCACGAAACAAACTGCAGTATAAGGGTTATGGCCAATGGATGTGTGAGACACGATCACCAGTTTGCTAAGTGGCTGCTGCTCCCCAGGTCTGTCAGGTACTTAGTGGCTTTGACCCTGCGACAGACTTATCTGAATGATGCTGCTTTCTTGTAAGGGACCTTTCTTGTAGGTGCCCGATGTCACCTTCCCCATTGCCTGCCTTCCACCACCCCCAAACAAGTTCACAGCCATCACCTTAGCGCATGTTTTGGAATAGGAGGGGTTTGGTATAGGTTTTGGGTTTCACAAAATGCAAGACAGCTGAAAAGTTGGTCAAATAACTTCTTCCTAGAACACATCCCTACAGGTCCCATGGGTCCGTGTGCTCAGGTACACACATGTGTAGTGAGGTAGCAGTTTCTGCTAAGGCAAAGAATCACCTGTTTAAGAGAGCTTTGGCTGTCAGCAGAACAGGTATTTTTGGCCTAGTTGGAAAATACCAAAGGTTATTTTAACAGATCTTAGGTCTTGGTCAGAGTGTACCTGCTGGGTGCTGGACTTCAAAACTGATGCCGAGTTGTTTGTCTCTTTAAGTTTTCAGAATAGAAATGCCTGCAGCTGGGCAGTCCCAGGCTGCAGGCATGGTACAGGTGCGAACATGTTAAGCTGCAAGCTCTTGGGAGCTGCTTTCCCTTGCTAGCACTAGGCAGGGAATTACTACCACTTGCCTGTCATCACTAGTGTGAAAAGTAGTGTGATATTTCCCAGTTCAGTTAAACAGAAATGGGTCCATTCCATTTTAATACTTCTCTCTGCAAAGTGGTGACATGGAAACAATGCCATCTCCTACCATGAAATGACAGCTTACTCCAGCCCTTTCATTACAGAAGCCCTCGAGGATTGCACCAAGGGAGTTTGATTAGGTTAGTAATCACTGCAGCACGGGCAAAGCATTAATACCCTCTGACCTTTTGTAAATAAAGAGTTATACTGGTTCTGCCTCTACAGCCAGGGAGATTTACACATACAGCTTTCTCCAAGCACTGAGGGAGAAGAAACTGAGGCGGTAAAATCCTGAAAGCCAGCAATTTATTCGAGAAGGGATGCTGAGAGCACTTGAAGGCTCGAAGATTGTGATATTTTACCTGTAGTTTGCAGCACAGGGAACAAAGGATAGGATTTTCATTAAACCCTAGCATTTTCAGAGACACAGGCTGTTATTTTTTTCAAGTCACATCGCTGGTTCTGCACAAGTTCTCTTCAAGAGTTGTTACTACACAAGAGCTGTGTGTGCAGCTCTTGGTGATTCACTGCCTGCTATCTGTTGCTGTGGTGGGATCTCCTCTGACGGACAGGCTGGAAAGCACCTTCCAGTCTTCTCCTATTCTTAAGACCCTTCTGAAGCCTTCTGTCCTACTCTCCTTTGGCAGCCACCTCACGCCCACATAGCAATAGCACCTGACATGACCTCTGGTTAATCACGTATCTCCAAAACCTGAAGAAATAATTTCTGCCAAGTCTGCCTATGCTGTAAGACTTCAGGAGAGAGGTACTTTGTGACCTAGGGTTCCCTGCTCACAGGTGTGACTAGGGGAATCCCAAACCTTTTCTTCATTACTTCACATCTTGGGCTACAAGACACCTGGGAAGCAAAACCAGGTAATAGCCCTTTGGCTTTCTCAGAGTAGTCTCTAGTCTTAAGTACCTCCTCCATTCCTTCAGTAGCAGCACTTCATGGCAGTCCCCTCTTCCGTAGTCTGGAAATTGGGGAAGACAAATATGACACAATTACCTTCAATTACCAAAAATATTACTTTTATAGAAGAAAAGTGAAAATTTGACTTATTCCAGATCTGAAGCAGTGAGAGACACAGAGTGAAATTATAGGGGAGTTTTCAGTGACTGAGGCTCACCCATGGCCTTCAGAGAGGAAAAATAATCATGTTACTGACTTTCCTCCCAGCTTCACAGCAGTTTATATCCTTTAATCTCACACACTGAATCCTCTGTTTGCTTGGGCTTTGTAGATTCAACAACCTCCACGTGCAGTTAGCATTGAGCCCGACTCCCCTTACTTGCTGGTTTGATCCTGACCACAGCCATAAATGACTGCGCTGCCTCTGTATACACAATATGTACGTGGATCAGATAAAAATTCAAACGTGCAACATGGCTCCACCCACATTGTCTGCAGAAGACAAACTCATCCACAGCAATGAAAAGTGCAAAGATAATTCAGTGTTTTCCACTTGATCCTAGGCGATGTTTCTTAGCATCCCTTGGCACATCTCTCCTTGCACACCAGCATCACCCCCCAAAAGCTACTGAAATGCTTGTGTTGCTGAGTCCAAGTCTCCTTTTGGTCTCCAAGGCTCTTCTACCTATGTTTCCAGAAAGATTAATAAATACTGTGCACACCAAACTTCTGTAGGGCCCATCACAGGAGCCCCGGTATCCCTCTAAAACATTTCAAGTTTGTTTTTTTGCTATCCCTTCTCTTTGAATGTATGACTGCCAACAGGCCAATACCAGCTGCATGCCGTGCAGACAACATCCATTGTTCAACCTGGAGCGCCACGTCCTTATTTTTATTTGAGTGATTCTTCTCCTGTCCCATAATACACAAGGACCCCCAATGGTTTTGCATTTGAGCTCCATCTGGTGCATCTTGGCTGCATGAAGCAATGTCTCAGCGCCCATCCCCGCTGTGTAAGTCCTCCAGCAAGTCAAGACATCACCATGTCCCAGCGCTGACTCATGGCTGTGCTCTCACAAGGGTTGATGACAAGCTCTTTGGTGCTCTCATTCGTGTCCCCGACCGTCTCAGTGTCCAAACAAAAGCGTGAAACTATGTGTTCAATGTGCGACCCAACTTTACCCCAACGCTGAGGACAGACACACGAGAGAAGAAACAGGGGAAACAAGGGTGAACAAGCTTCCTCCTCATTATGCTTTTACTATACTCTTCCAGCATCAAAAGGACAGTCGTCACTAAGCCTTTGTGGCCTGATGCTGGGAAGTACAGGGTCCCCCAGCCCACACCCAGCAGAGCGCACGCTGAGCATTTCTCCCGTCAGAAGCACACTCATTTAAACTCAGTCTCTGTCTGGCTTCAGAAAGATAATATATTAATAACAGCTTTTTCCCCAGGTCACTGGTTCAAATGCCAGCTCAGTGATTAACTGCAGAGAAATTTTAGCATCTGCTGGCTGACTGGCAGCCCGTGCAAACTAAATTGCCAGTTTTGGTTTGACTTCTGCAGTGTAAGTATCCAGATCACCACCCACACTAATAGACATCCTTATCAACGCACTCATTTAAGAGGCAAAGGGCTGAACAGGCCAGAGTCTGTACTCCCAGATAGACTATGCTTCCCAGATGAAGTCAGAGCACATGGGTGATTTGACGCGCAGTAATACTATGCTGAAGGAAAGGGAACTTCGAAGAAAATGGGGGATCAATGAAAGGGCTCACCTGCTTGTTGTCACCTTCTTTGCAAGGTGACAGCAGCACCTGGGAACCGGGGAAGAGGGTGTACACAGACAAGCACAGCTGCTGCTGGCGGACTTGGTGGTTGTATGTGTATGTCCATTCCTGCAGAGAGGAAGAAAAAGAAAAGAGGTGATAGATCAGGGTTGATTCTTGGTATTCTTCTACCTGGGAGGCAAACACTTTGCCTTGGAGTCTGCCTTCTAGGAAACCAAGCACAAACCTCATTGACTTCAGGAGGCACGGGAACAGGTCAGTAGGATGTTTCAAGCCTCCCCAAAACTGCAGCTGTCACTGGGGGCCTGCATGTACCAAAGAAAATGTCTACGAAAGCTGCTGGAAGAAATTGGCTCACAAGGCAAAGGATTTCATACGCAGATCCCCAGAAATCCAGCCTGTGGCTGGGGGACAAGAGGATGGAAAAACAGCAAAAGAGGCAGAAATACCACTAACCACAATGTGCAATCCACTTTAAGAGCAGCAGAAATGCTGAGAGAGGAGGGAGGTGATATATAGTAAATTTTTGCAGCTCCCAGGATTCCGTTCCCAAATATCACAAAAATCAGGGCTAAATATCAAAGGAGTGGGACCAAACTCCAAAATTTTGCTGTACTGGTTTGCTACGACCACTGCTATTCCTGCTCCCCCGGGCTGTCTTGGAGGTTTTTTCCCCTCATGCTGCTTTTCATGTTTACCTGCTCTTTATCCGCTCCTCAGCTCACGAAATAAACTTCGGAGGAGCAGAGACTCTTTGTCCTGTGTAAAGCTTACCATACGACATCTCTGGGATTACCCTCTTTTTCACCCCGGATGCTTTACTTGGGAGAAAAAGCCAAGCAGTTGACAGTTTGACCAAGATTTCCAAATGTGCTGGACAAAGCATCATGCATGTACAGATGCAGTGCTTAGCCCAGGAGTATTTCACAGAAGTTTACTCCGATGTTTATTCCAGTTGAAAGTTTTCTATCATTCACCTGTGCTCATATTACCCAAAAGCACCTCCTGAGGATCCGAGATCGCCCAGGCAAGGGACATCTCGTGCTGTGTGTGTGTGTGTGTACACAAGCAGACTAGAGCTGCTTTGGCTTACGGGAAACCACAAGCCATGCCTTCACATAACCCTGGAGAGTGACTTGGGGAACGAGGGTTTTTTGCTCACAACTTTGTGCGGGTATTAACTTTAAAATTACAAAGAGAAGGGCTGGGAGGGGCTTCTGAGGGCCTCTAGCTGGGGTGCAAAGCAGGATCAACTCCTGCCGTGCAAATGGCAGTCAGGCGAGCAGCAGCGGGAGCAAAAGGAAAGCAGGTTGCTGAGCTGTGGCCGGGCAGATGAGCAGGACTGGAGGACAAAGAGAAGGCTGGCTTCGCTAGCAGAGGGCAATAACTGTGCTGGAGGGAGCAAGGCCAGGGAGCAAGAGGATTTCTGCAACAGACCCCAAGAGCCAAGTGCTTTGACAGGGTACAGGCTATGAGAAAACTGGGGAAGCTGCTGTGAAAGAAAAGGTGCAGGGAGAAAGGAGAACAGTTGAGAGCTCAGATACGGAGGAGGGAGAGCTCCGGGAGGAGTGAAGTGCGCAGGGATGCGGGCGGCGGAGGGGAAGGCAGCGCTCAAACGTACTGCAGTTAGGCTGGGTCTGGAAAAATGGAAGGGTAAAAGGTGCTCCTGAGAGACTGCAACCCTTTCTGAGTGCCGGAGGGAGAAGAGAAGAATGGCTGCCCTGATCGCAGAGCTGGGACGCCTGCAGCTCCCTCCGACCTTGAATGGTGGAGGCTTTGGGTTGTATTAGCGTTGAGTTATTACAGCAGGGCAACGCTATCACCCCTTTGGTATTTGTCACCGTCAGCAACTCTAACTCCTCTCCCTGACTTCAAAACAGCTACAGGCATTTAATTCCTGGGAATACAAATCCCACTTCATTCAGGTTCTTAGCCACCTGGAAGGGAAAACACACTTTTGCACAGCAGACCCAGATCCTCAAGGACTTCACACTGTGATCCTCACACCCTGCACTTCTTAGTCTACTACTCCCCACCAGCTGATGGAAATCAAACCTGGCTTTCTGAACAGCCTGCCCACAGGCTTCTAGCGAGAGCTGCCCAGGATTTAGGCACATAGCAAGCATTCATTTTCAAAGCCGTAGTCTGCACCCAAAGGGCCTTCTGGCAACTACTTCTTCTTTGTCAGATGGAGCAGAGTTTACCTGATCCTACAGTGAACACATTCCAGGCATCCCAACCATGCACGCTGTCAGCTGCTGTGTAAACCACCAGCCTGGGAAATCAGGTGCCAAATTAGTCCTGCATCTGTGAAGAACCAAGCCCTACGGGCCAAGCTCCAACACCTGTTCTTGGCGCCTGCACTGCTACAAGCTGCTTTGAAAACCTGCTTTACATTTTTAACCAATTGTTCATCATTTTAGCTCAGGACAGGGCTGGAGCTGCACCCAGGAGGCTCCTCAGCAGCAGCAAGTTAATCCTGCAATCGTGTATATGTTGAATCCCCCAACTAACTCAGGCCATGGGACTTTTTTTTTTGCTTTGACCTCTTAACCTCCTTGCTTCACTGAGGCACCTAGAACCATAGAACAGTCTGGGTTGGAAGGGACCTTTAAAGGTCATCTAGTCCAGCCCCGCATTCGTGCTGGCTTGCAGCTGAACCCATGATTTGGAAAAGTTTTCTTCTGCTCTTAGATGCAAAATAACCACCCTGTGATGGCCAGAGTCTTCACGAGAAAAAAACATGTTATTGCTATTAAAGGTTGTTTATTTGCAGACATATACCGTCGACATCTTTTCAGCTGGCTGTGTTTTTTATTACGTGGTATCTGAAGGCAGTCAACCCTTTGGCAAATCTCTACAGCGGCAAGCCAACGTTCTGCTGGGTGCCTACAGCCTGGAGTCTTTAAATGCAGGGAGGCACGGTAAGAAAAGCCCGGTAAACATAAAGCACTACAGCATTTAGTGAACTTTCCATGGGTGTTAAAATACCAACAGAAATGACAGAATTGTGACCCACAGTGATTCCCCGCCTGGCAAAGTTGTACTCCTGAAGTAAAGTTCCTAAAGCTCTTCGAATTAGTACTACAAAGCATCTCTGGGATACAGTATTTGGAACTCTGCAAGCTTGACTGTCGAGATATTTCATGTATTTAAAGGGTACAAGAGAGCTCAACTTTGATCTTCATAATCACACTGACTCAAGACTACTGACTTTCTGTTGTTTGCCCAGCATATCTATAAGGGCAGCACTGGAGCTAGTGTTCAGGATTGTGTTTGAGGAAGTAGTGGACATGACTAAAGGATGAAACATTAGATTTCCCTACAGCCTAAGAATTATCACCCTTTTCCTTGCAGAAGACATAGTTGCTCGTGATTTAATAGAGCAAATGATAAATATGGACCCTCAGAAACGTCCGTCTGCCAGCTGTGTGCTAAAACACCCGTTCTTTTGGAGTTTAGAAAAACAGCTCCAGTTTTTTCAGGTTTGTGTTAGCCTTTTCTATTCTTTCAATAATAGGACTGCTCCTCCCAGAGGTTCTCCATGCTTTTTTTTCCAGGCCAGGCTCTGTTCAAGCCTTCCCAATATTCACATCCTCTCAAGGCAGGACCATCTTCTCATTCAGCAAAGTGCCATGGGGTAGGCAGGGTGATGGTAACCATCTCTGCTAGGCTGTTTTTCATCGTAAGAAGAGAGGCCTTCGGAGCTAGATACATGCATCGGTTCCATAGCTGACATCGGATCCTCCCTCTCGCCCCCAGGCTGTCCTGCTACTGTCTTTATCTAAACTGACAGATTTTCACACGGCTCTTCCATTTTGGCAGAATGGGTTTTTATGGAAGCCT